ACAAGTCCTTTCCTGTCGTCTCGTCCTACCACCACCACAGCCTTCTGCGCGTCTCTCTTCCTCGAGACGTCGCTGTCGTCCATACTTTCGTTTTCCTCTACCTTCCCGCCTTCTCTCACCTGGCCAGGAAAACAACAGGTTCCCTAACGGCTCGATTGAACGACACGCTTCCTTTCTTGGAAGACTCGATCGAGCCCTCTCCACCCATGAAGAGGCGCTCGTCGGGTTCGACCGACGACAGCGACGAACCTCTTGTCGATCCTCCAGTCGTTCAGCAGCCCGCCCAAAGTCGCAATTCTGCACCTCTTCCCAAGCAACCCGCTGCTGTTACTGTTGCCGCAGGAGCCGCATCTAGACCGTCGTCCGCAAGGAGCAGAAAGTCAAACAATTCCAATTGGAAGCTCGAACATGGCCCGAACGTGAATTCGATTCTCGACAACCACCCCATAACTGCCTTGCCATCGTCACCCCTCTCAGTTCCATCCCTGGCCACGCCATCGCCAGCCTACCGAAACCACACACACCAGCTGCCGAACCACAAACTTCACCACCATTCCCAAAGTGTCGCCGACGAACTTCAGCCTACGCCGAACGACGACAAGTATTTCGATAGCGATCACCACGACGGTAGAGGCGACGGGGACGGCCTCCACGACGACATCGTAGACACTCGGCGAGAGGATCAAACCACCATGGCCGCAGAGAAGATGCCCGATGTGCGCTTCGCCGGTCGCCGCTCTCGATTCCGAAGCCCTTGGTCCGTCACCATATTTACGCTGACTGTCACCGTTCTTGGGATAACTCTGCTATGCGCTATATTGAACTCGTCATGGACTCGCCAGCTCGATGCCAAGGGATGCCGCATGTCGTACATGCGACCTTCCTACATTCGTCTTCGTGACTTCGATACCGAACACACCCGGTTTGCGACCAAATACTCGCTATACCTGTATCGTGAGCAGGGTGTTGACGACGAAAGAAAGGTGCGTCTTGTTTCTTGCGCCGGGGCTATAGCAGATCGCTGACCTTTCACAGCTGAGAGGCGTTCCTGTACTCTTCATCCCAGGTAATGCCGGAAGTTACAAACAAGTTCGACCCATAGCCGCTGAAGCTGCAAACTACTACCACGAGTCTCTTCAACACGATGAAACTGCTGTTGCAGCCGGCGCCAGGAATCTCGATTTCTTTACAGTTGACTTCAACGAGGATATCACCGCCTTCCACGGACAGACCATGTTGGATCAGGCCGAGTACTTGAACGAAGCCATCAGGTACATCTTGTCGCTCTACATGGACCCGCGCATGTCAGCTCGAGATCAGGACTTGCCAGATCCAACCTCTGTCTTGGTACTCGGTCATTCGATGGGTGGTATCGTCGCGCGCACCATGCTCATCATGCCGAACTACCAGTCCAACTCGATCAACACCATTTTAACCATGTCTGCGCCACACTCACGTCCCCCTGTTACTTTTGACGGACAGATTGTCAAGATATACGATGATATCAATGACTACTGGCGTCACGCCTACTCACAGAAATGGGCCAACAACAATCCGTTGTGGCATGTTACTCTTGTCTCAATCGCCGGAGGTGGCTTAGACACGGTCGTTCCGTCCGACTACGCAAGCATCGAGCCGATAATCCCCGAGACGCACGGCTTCACTGTCTTCACCACCGGAATTCCAGGTGTTTGGACTAGTATGGATCACCAGGCCATTCTATGGTGCGACCAATTTCGGAAAGTTGTTGCTCGCGCCATGTACGACGTGGTCGATGTCCACAGATCTTCGCAGACTAAGCCCAGGGCTGAGAGAATGCGGGTTTTCAAGAAGTACTTCCTCACTGGCATGGAGTCGATCGCCGAGCAGACTATGGCAGTTGAGGGGCCAAGCACACTTCTGACACTCGAGGACAACTCGAACGCGATCAAGGCACAAGGCGAACGCCTCGTCTTGCGACAGCTCGGCCACGACCCGAAAATCACAGCTCACCTGCTTCCTGTACCTCCCCAAGGATCCCCAGAAGGAAAGCGCTTCACCCTACTGACCGACAGCGCATTGGACAAGCCAGGAGAACATGGAAAGCTCGAGGTCCTGCTTTGCAGCGTGTTCCCTTTGCAGCCTGGACAGTCGACGACGCTGTTCTCGACACACATGGACCTCTCAGGCGATAGCACTGGGTCTACTAGATTGGCCTGCAAGAATGCAGCGACCGACGCCATTCTGCTCCCCCCTTCGACGAGAATGCTTCACCAGCCCTTTGCCTCGGAAAATGAGCCAGTGACAAGACCATTCTCCTATCTCCAGTTTGATATCGAGGACATTGCGGACCACCAATTCATAGCCGTCATAGACAAGGCGGCGAAGCCAACTCCAAACTTTGTTGTGGCCGAATTCAGCGATCATTCGCAATCACACAGAAGGCGTAACATCAGCCTGCGTCGAATTCTCGCATTTGGAATGACGCTGCGACTGCCTGCGAACCGTCCCTTGGCTGCCGAGATCAACATTCCTACCATTCAATCAAGTCTACTGGCATACAATCTGGAGATTGGCAATCAGGCTTGCGGTTCATCCTCTGGACTGTTCTCGCCTCTCATACGGCAACACCTGGCTCAGCCATACGAGTCCAAGTTTTTCGTAAACGCTAGGCATGCTAGCATCAGTTTGCATGGCGTGGCCCCGTTCGTTCCGCCCCCTCTTAGGCACAAGCTTCAACATGAGCAGGGACTTAGCCTCCAGTTTTGGACCGATCCAACCTGCGAATCCGCAATCCAAGTTACGCTGACAGTCGACCCGTTGGGGAGCTTGGGAAAGCTGTACATGCGTTATCGGACTGTATTTGCGGCCTTCCCATTGCTTGTGGTGGCTCTCGTGCTTCGCAAGCAGTTCCGGATCTACGACACGACCGGAGCCTTCATATCTTTCTCGGAAAGCTTGGATCTCTGCTTACGGCAATCACTACCGCTGATGTTCCTTTCCTTGACATTCCTCTCCTTGTCAATGACTGGATCGTGGTCATCCGGCCCTGGCGTATTCTGGCACTGGCGCAACACGACTTCAGCGGAAGGCGACTTTCACAGCAACGATCTTCTTACAGGCACCCAGGACCCCTTCTTCTGGTTTATTATCCCCCTAATCGGAGTCGTCTGTGTAGGGGTGTGCGCCTGTCTTCACTTTGTCACCCTGGCATTGACTCAGATTCTCGGCGTTCTCTACGCTTGGATAGCTCTGCGACCATTCGCAGCCGGGCGTGATGAGCGCCGAAGGCCGCAGTTACCCATCTTCGTTGCATCCTCTCCTCGACGTCGTATGATAACAACTGCCGTCCTGCTATTCCTCGTGTCGACGTTTATACCCTATCAATTTGCGTACTTGGTAGCATGTCTCGTTCAGCTATTCACCGTCGTCCGTGCTCATCGGATTGCCTCAGAAGTCAAATCTGGACTGACCCAAGATTTTTACCACTACGCCCACTCCATTCTGCTTCTCATGCTCTGGGTCCTCCCTATCAATCTACCCATTCTGGCAGTGTGGATTCGCAACCTTGCCGTCCACTGGCTCACGCCCTTCTCTTCGCACCATAACGTGCTATCGATTATGCCGTTCATATTACTGGTGGAGAACTTAACCACCGGTAGGATGGTTCCTAGAGTTACGGGCAGGATGAGATATCTCACAAGCGTGTTACTCTTTGGCACAGCCATCTACGCTGCTGTTTATGGTGTTTCCTACGCCTACATGCTGCACTATCTCGTCAATTTGATAGCTGCTTGGCTGGTTGTTATTCATTCGACTACAGACAACTGGCCCCTTGCTGGGTTTAGTTCAATATTTGACGGCCATCAAGAAGACCGTAAACGTGGCAAAACTCCATGAGGACGAGGTTGGCACTCGATTCTCTTCACCTGGTGGGATATCACTGTTCGTGTTGGCTCTGTTCAAGAACTCGATCGGCGAGAACAGTAATACCCATTCGCTCTAATCGCTCCGCGCTGTACATATTACAGTCTCAGTTGGCTCGTCGGCGAACGACGTTCAACTCACACGGGAGTCTTCTCTTTTCTTCATAATAGATGGTCTCGGATATTCCCATCTAGAGCTCGACAGACACTGTCTCGGTAGTACGCTGATACCAGTCTTCAGTGACATTGGTGTCGCTACAATATTCCGTGTTGTCATCATTGTTTTTCCATCTGCATCTTGCATCGGCTGGGAGTTTAGTACGATTCACACTTTTTTTTGGTTAGAGGAGTTGGGATGAACATATTTTATTCCAGAGGACCGGGCTATGAGGTGTCAGGAGGTATCCTTGGCTTTTCTTCCTCTACCTATTCTCCGCCCGGGCACCATTGCATTGCAACCAGCGTCCGCCGGAAGGCTGATTCGATGAGGTGGGACAACAGTTCCTTAAATAGGGGACGAGGTGGAGCTCCGCTTCGAACGATATTGTGTAATGTCGCGACGCGGTTTTTTTTTGTTTGACGTTGGGACACCGTGTCTCGTTTTTAATACGTTGACGGATGAAGTTCTCTTTGGGTTTACCCGTGTAGAGATGTAGTGCCCAATAAGGGGCCCCCTCACTAGTCAGAAAGGAGGAGTGCAAATGAGGCGCTCAACGTAAAGGACGACCTAGTATAGCACCCACCAGCAATGATGGATGCTCCCAATACTGAAAGTGAATTTCACCGATCCTATAGTACTTGATTCCGTGAATGAAGTTGGGTATACAATAGGGGTAAAGATGAATTACAATTTCTCATTGATATCCGCTGTGGTAGCGAGTGTCGATACTCATGAATCGAAGAAAAATAATCAACAGCTGCCCCAAACGCCTTTCCTCTATGAGTTATCTATGGCCGTTGACGTTGAATCTATGTTGAGGACTTGACAGCCAGCCGTGTTCGCAGAGACGACTTTGTGTCAAGAGTTGTAAGGGACAGTCGTGGACTTCCCTCATCCCCCTCCTATACTTTTGGTTCCACCGTGGGCAATGTACCTCAGTCATCCTGCTCCGCCTTCATCTTCTCCTCTTTTGCCCACTTCACTCGCTGGTGACGGATGACCCATAGGGTGAGCACCAGCCCGATTGAGCATGCGCCAAGTGTCATCAAATACGCCGCACGATAGCAGTCCAGCCCGTCGTGGCAGACGCGCTCGCCATCCGGGCCCACGACGCTGTGCCTGTCGTAGATCCTGCCGTAGAAGATGTTGAATACGTTACCAGACACCACGGGCGAGAGCGTCATAAGCCCCCAGTTCTGGCTCAGGCCGTGAATGCCGAAGGTTTCGGCCACGATGGAAGGGAAGACCCCGAAGAGAAAACCGTACGCGATACCAGACAGGCCTGAAACCAGTCCAAGCAGATGAGGGTTAGTGACGTGGAGGGCCATGAGCTGTGCCACGAAGAACACAGCACTGGATGCCACAAGGCACCACACCCGACTGCCGTGAAGGACCTTTACGATAAAGTCGGAGCCGACACCTATTGCAGTCCAAGTCAGCTTGAATCTTTGGATGAATGATAGACTAAAGCATCATACCGCTGAGAAGTCTGCCTGCGAAGCTACCAATCGATAGAATGGACACGTGCATCTGCTGCTTCGTGATGAGGTAGGCCTCATCCACCGACTCGTCATAATGACGCCAAAGGGCCTTTACGTCGTTTCCAATGTTGCTGGAGATTTTGTTAATGCCAAAGAATATCACAGGTTAGCCAAATACTGATACTCACTTGATTGTCATCAAACCGATGCCAGTAAGAATGCCCATGATGAGGAAGAATTGCCAAAAATCGATTTCACGCAAAAGAGCCCAGCCACGAATATCTACTCGATGAGAACGATCCAGATCAACACTGCTCTGCACAAAGACATCACCGGGCATGGAAGAGGAGCTCGATACCAGCGAGGACGTCTCGTCGGGCTCATAATCATCGGCTTCGACGGCTTCGATTTGCGCCTCATCAGCCTCGCGAGACGGCGCGGACGATTCGTACTCGGGATGAACCGGCTCGTGGTCGGCGGTGGAGTTGATTGTGGTAGTGGTATTATCAAGTTTGGGCGACGTACCAGGTTCAACCGGAGCGCTGCGGTGCCCATAGCCGGGTCGGTTTGGCTTGGCCTCTTCCGAAGAAGTGCGTCGAAGCTGTTGCGAGCCGGAAAGACCATCGCTTGCTGGCAGACTGTGATAGGTGGCATGAGGATAGACGCGCAGGAAGAAGAAACCGAAGAAGGTTAAACCGCAGGTCCCAATGGACAGTAAGGCCAGGAAGGCGCTGGTGTTCCCGGGGAAGAATAGACTCCCAAACGTCGAAAAGAAGAAGGCACTCAGACCAAAAGCAGCCAGGGGGAAAGCGGTGGCAGTCCCCCGATGATGAGGCCAATTGAGAGCGGATGTCTTGACAGAGGCGGCGAAAGCCAGACACCCGCCGAGGCCAGACAGGTATGAAAAGAAGCAGAGAAGCGGCACGGGGCCAGCCGCGCGATCGTAGGCGATGTGGAATGGGAAGTATCCGAGGGCGAGCAGGACGGAGCCAATAATGACGGCGGAGCGAGGTCCTTTGTGATCAACGAGCATGCCGACAGGAACGCCCAAAGAGTACATTCCCAGATTGGCGGAAAGGCCAATGAGATTCGTTTCGGTCGAGGAGAGCTTCAATCGTTCGGCAAATTGAGGGGACCATGCCGAGTAAACGTACTGCAAAGCAGGGACATATCAGCTCATGATTCACGTTGAGAGTGACGATAGGTCTGGCAGGGATGTGATCCGATCGCGCCAACTCACGTTGGTACCGCATGCTAGAGAAATGACCGTGGCTGCAACGCTGGCAACCAGCCGAGCGCGGTGCAGCTCTTTCTCCCGTGGACCTGACATTGCTTCTGCAGACTGGGCGACGATGAAATGATATTCTCAAGATATCATGCTTCGGCCGGTTTGTGGCGGAAGGAAGATTGCTCGTCAGCGAGAGACGGCAGCGATAATCGGCACCGGTGACGGCGAAGAGTCGGGGAGAGGGGAGGGCCTTTTGCGACGGTTGGGGTTATGGTAGGTGTTTTGGTGTTTTAGTGTACTATCGGAGGAGCAGTGTTCATATCGATATTGACGAAGCCAGTAGCATGCGACATGAAGACTTGGGCGTTGTCTGAAGACTAGAGGAATCGGAATGGTAGGAAGGACGCACAGTGAGGTAAGGGGAAAAGGAAGGATAGAGGTTGTCGAGGGGCAGCGGGAAGCTTCGTTGAGTCGGAAAACGAAACGGGAACGATGCCGGATCGGATCCCTTATCTATGGGCAGGAATCACGAATCCATTCTTTTGGGGCCGCGCATGCACTTCAACTGGGAAGGTAATGGGGAATAAGGTAGGGATTCGGAGCCCTGGAGGATGCCCCTGAAGGCTAAGCTGCAATGCCGTAAGATGCCGTAAGTGCCCTGCCGAGAAGACAAATACACTACGTAACGAGTACCAATGACGCTGTGCGTATTACATATTGGCTACGTAAAGGGTCTCGTACCCGGTACTTCTGTCCTCCTCGGCATCTTGGCCTGCCGCTGGAGTGCCACGAGTGCGCTGCGTTTCTGTTTCCCTAACTTCCTTTCAGGCGCGGCAGGGAAGGGTGGTGGCGCGTGCATGTGTCAACTGCGCGGCTGGAATATGGAAACCCATGCGCCGCCGCCCTTCATCATGCCTGCCTGCTTGAATCAACAGTATATTACCTATGTGTGTGTGCCTGGTCAGTTGGGCTGATTGTCTCAGCGGGTTTTGTGTCAATGTCGGCAATTTTGAATAAGTCAGCCGAACATGGTCGCCTGTTCTTCCTCGGCGCTGGAATAGTTCGCGCGACACATGGGGAACGCTCAGTCACTTGATCTTTTTGTAAGACATCATAGACGCTACGCTAGTAGAGAATACAGTTCTGGTGAGTATCACTTCGCCCTCCACCGGCCTGAGACCTGGAGTAGTGAGGCCACTGCAGGTAAATCCACGAGGTCGGTTCGAAACCAGCAAGTGAATAGAGAGTCTAGTTGCCATTTCGACTGTCGAAGTTCTCAAAGCCAAGTACAGCTAGGTCCATTCCACATAGGACGTTTTGATGTGTGGGTAGTATGACTGGGACAAGATGGATGATGTTCGGGTTGCGCAACACTGACTTGCACCATATACAACGAATCAGACATTAAGTGTGGACTCCACCGATGGGGATTGTCGCACGCAATACAGCACGACCACGTCGAATGTATGTAGCAACCCCGCTCCCCTTGCGACAGGCCATCTGCAGCTTCACAGTATTGTCTTCTTACTGTTTGGGAATATTGTCCTCGTTCTATGGGCCATGGTACACTCGGGTGAATATAGTAAGCGGTTCAGTCTGAGGAAGATCCGGATCGCAAATCAAAGGTAAAATTTAGGTACGCAAGTGTACTGGGTAAGACGAGATAGTTTCTGGTTGAGGCAGCAAATCATTGATTTGAACGATGAGCGGGCTGGTTTCCAAACGAGAAGCTTGCATTTGAGGCTGCTTGGATAGCGAATAATGGGTGATATGGTAGAGCTAGCCAGCGGCTTCTCAGATGTCCGCGTCGGGATCGTCGCGATAAGGTAACTGAGGTTGAGCAGGAAAGGCAGGTGTAAGTAGCTTCACTTCACTCGGTGCCAGGTAGACGAAAGATGTCGGGAATCGGTGCAGAATTGCCGATAGTGGATGGCCGACTTCGGCGGAGAGTTTTGGAATCCGGGGTTCGGATCCGGGTGGGGAGCCACAGTAGAGACTACGTAATCTCACGTGTATCCCAGCCTCCACAGATGGACCCACCCTTTGTGGCTCGTTACCAAAGGTACGTAGGTCCAGCCTCCAAGCTACCTCTCTACCTGATCCATACTGCGCCGCGCCGACGTAAGGCATCTCGCAAAGACATCAACGACGCGACACCTCCATCTTTCCAGCGCGACCCTCGCCGAACCGACGTTTGTACCCTTTAGATCGATAGTACATACCGTAGGAAACCGGCGCCATGGGTGCTTTGCTTTCGTTGCCGCTGATGGCGGTGCCGAGCATGGGCACGGTACGACGAGTCCCCTCCCATTCCTTTCTCTACGGCTTGTAGAGCCTATCTTCACTTCACAAGCTAATACTTTACAGCTCATCGGCTTCGCTGCCAGTTGCTGCGGTGCGGCAACTTGCTCTGCAGTCTGCAGCGCCTGTGGGAAGTGCGGCAACAGGTAATTCTCCCCCCACCCCGTGAACACACCACTCTCGGTACTGACTTCATTGTAGTGTCGCCACCCGTATCGGCTACGCAGTCATGCTTCTCGTCAACTCGATCCTGTCATGGATCATGCTCACCCCGTGGGCTATCAAGAAGCTGGAACACCTTATGCTCGACTACGTCAAAATCGACTGTCCCAACGGCCAATGCTACGGGTGGATGGCGGTCCACCGCTTCAACTTCGCTCTCGGTCTCTTCCATCTCATACTCGCCGGGCTTCTGTTCGGTGTAACATCTTCCAAGAACCCTCGCGCCGCTATTCAGAATGGCTACTGGGGACCCAAAGTCATTGTGTGGCTTGCCTTCATCGTCCTCTCCTTCCTGATTCCCGACGAATTCTTCCAGTTCTACGGCGCCTATATTGCCCGATTCGGCGGCATGTTGTTCCTCATCCTCGGCCTTATCTTGCTTGTTGATCTCGCCCATAACTGGGCTGAGTATTGTCTTGAGCAGATTGAGGAAACCGACTCCAAGGTTTGGCGGACAGTTCTCATCGGCTCTACATTGGGCATGTATCTTGCTTCACTCGCCATGACTATCGTCCAGTACATCTTCTTCGCCGGATCCGGTTGCTCCATGAACCAAGCAGCAATTACGATCAACCTCCTGCTATGGATTGGAATTTCTTTCATCTCGGTCCATCCCACCATTCAGGAATACAACCCCAAGGCTGGTCTTGCTCAGGGTGCCATGGTCGCCGTATACTGTACCTACCTTACCATGTCCGCTGTTTCGATGGAACCCGATGACAAGCAATGCAACCCCCTGATTCGCGCTCAGGGAACTCGCACCACATCCATTGTGATTGGTGCCGTCGTCACCATGCTCACAATTGCGTACACTACGACACGGGCGGCGACTCAGAGCCTTGGACTTGGTTCTTCCGGCGGCATCCGTCTCCCAGAGGAAGATGAGCACGATCTCGTCACTCACCAGCCCAGCGCCCAGAAACAGATGCGGGCGGAGGCATTACGTCGTGCCGTTGAGGAGGGAAGCTTGCCGGCGGACGCTCTCTTGTCCGACGACGAGAGCGAGGCTGGCGGCAGTCGTGTCCATGGTGACGATGAGCGCTCACAGACGCAGTACAGCTATACCGTCTTCCACATCATCTTCTTCTTAGCCACGGCGTGGATCGCGACGTTGCTAACCCAGAGCTACGACGACCAAAATGCCGATGGCAACTTTGCTCCTGTCGGCCGGTCGTACTGGGCCAGCTGGGTGAAGATTGTAAGCGCTTGGGTTTGCTACGCCATGTATGCTTGGACGCTGGTAGCTCCAGTCGTCCTCCCAGACCGCTTCGACTTTTCCTAGATATCTGTACAAATAGCATTGTGTAGTTTCTCAGTTTTGTCAGAGCAGAACGATTTTGGGTTGCATAGTTTAAGAGGCAATAGTGAATAGTTAGTTGAATGGCATTGTACTACTCCGTTAGTTTATACATGATCCGTTGGTATGATGCTGATCTGTTTACTTCCGGCGCCATGAGCACATTTAACGGAGTGAGAAACCGCAACGCCTCATCTGGTCAGATGGACGCATTCACTGTCAAAACTTGCGAAACATACAAGGTGCGGCAAAGGAACGATTCCGTCTCCGGGTAGGTTAGGTCGACAAGAAGTAGTCGAATTCTCTAAGCTATTCACGCTTTTCATTGCCCCCCTTTTCTTTTTTGATTTTCCAACACATATCGAGCGTACCAAGCCCCAACGCCGTTGTGTTCCGAAAGTGGATTTTCTTCCACTCACTCACTACGCGTGCGGTTGACTACTCTTTGACCCAATCAACCCAGGCCTCGTTACTCAAGCTCCAGCCTCTACAGGGAGTCCTTCAAGCCTGCTGGACAGCCTCAGTCGCGTGAAACCCGTCCAAGGTCACGTTGACCGCACCGGCCTGAACAAGCTACGACAGAAGTCAGTATTGGTGCCTTAGGGGCGAATCTAGTTGACAGCACTTACAGCTCGCGAGAGGTCTTCAATCAAGTCCGTTGCGTCCTCGATGCCCACGCACAAGCGAATGAGGTCTTCCGGCATCTGCCTCTCCTTCCGGGTCTTGGCGTCGATGCTGGCGTGGCTCATCTGGCAGGGCATACTGATAAGGCTGTTTACACAGCCGAAGCTAACGCTGATACTATACAGCTTAGCGGCTTCGACGATTCTCTCCGAAAGCGCCGCGTCGCCGGTCTCGAACGACAAAACAGCACCTGCACCTCGTGCCATAGACCAGTGCAGGTCGTATTGGGGGTGCGACTTGAGTCCCGGGTATCGGACCTTGAAACCATGGGACTCAAGGAACTCAGCAATCTGCTGAGCGTTGGCCTGCTGCTTCTCCATGCGGATAGCAAGTGTCTTGATGCCTCTCATAAGCAAGAAAGAGTCATTAGGCGACAGGCCGCACCCAGTGGAGTTGATGGTGAAGTACAGCTTGTTGCCAATCTCGGTATCGTTGACACCAATTACACCAGCCATGATGTCGTGGTGTCCAGACAAATACTTTGTTCCGGACTCGTAGACGATGTCTGCACCAATATCCAGGGGGTTCAGGAGCATTGGCGAGAGCATGGTGTTGTCCACGACAACCAAAGCCTTGTCGTTGGCCTCGTGAACAAGCT